GGGACTAGACCTCTCATGATTATGTGATTCTAATGACACTATTGCTTTCTGTTATCTGAATGTGATAACCACTTCCTCTGGTATAGTTTTTTTTTTAACTTTTTAAAATGTTTTATTTGTTTCTGAGAGAGAGAGAGGCAGCGTGAGCAGGGGAGGGTTAGAGAGAGAGAGAGAGAGGAAGACAAAGAATCCAAAGCAGCCTCCAGGCCCTGAGCTAGCTGTCAGCACAGAGCCTGACACGGGGCTCGAACCCACGAACTGTGAGATCATGACCTGAGCTGAAGTTGGACACTTAACCAACTGAGCCACCCAGGCACCCCTCCTCTGATATACTTTAAAGGCTCTTTGGATTTGTAGCTAGAGAGCTACTCTTTTTTTTTTTTTTTTAATGTTTTTTATTTATTTCTAGGAGAAAGAGAGAGAGACAGCGTGAGCAGGGGAGGGTCAGAGAGAGAGGGAGTGACAGACTCTGAAACAGGCTCCAGGCCCTGAGCTGGCAGTCAGCACAGAGCCCAACGCGGGGCTTGAACCCACGAACTGCGAGATCATGACCTAAGTGAAAGTCGGACGCTTAACCAACTAAGCCACCCAGGTGCCCCTAGAGAGCTACTCTTAAGGCCTGGCACTTGGAACACTTGTGACTTTGCATTCGATCGCCCGTGCCTTTCTTCTGCACCCCTCTGATTGCCTTCTAGCAAGTCCTTCTCGCCTAGCCTTTTATGAGTAAAGATGGTGGAAGCTAGTGTCTGAGTTTCCTAGAACTATATTTTGTTGATTGAACTAACGTTTCTCCAAGAACTGCACTGTTCTAGACACTGTGGGAAGATTAAAGGGGGAAAAAAAAGACCTCTTTTTGTAGGTTGGTACCTTCTATTATTTTTAAAATTTTTTTAACGTTTATTTATTTTTGAGAGAAAGGGAGAAAGGAGGAGTGGAAGAGGGGGAAAGAGAGAGGGAGACACAGAATTGGAAGCAGGCTCCAGGCTCTGAGCTGTCAGCATAGAGTCCAATGCGGGGCTCAAACTCATGTGCTGTGAGATCATGACCTGAGCTGAAGGCGGGTGCTCAACCAACTGAGCCACTCAAGCGCCCCACCTTCTATTTTAAAAAGTAACAGTTAACTTCATACTTTGCCATATTGAATAGATGCACTTCCCTTCTTGTTTTTGGTTGCTAATATGGCCTGCTTCAGGTCAATTCCTGTTAACTTCAATTTTTGGAAGATTTTCTGACCTGGCCTCTTTTTCCCTACAAAATTCCAATGTAATGTGTTACAGGGCTCAAGGGAAGAGATGATCCATCTGGGTAAAGGGGGATTACTCAAGGAATTCATGGAGGAGAGAATATTGCCTTGCCCTATTCTGGAAATTTATGGGCAAGAAAAAGATGCCCTTATTTAATGAAGTCAGACAACTTAAAAAATATCTGTGGACCTTCAAAATCCTCTAGAAGACCAATTATTATTTGTATGTTAGATTTCTTGTAGTTAACATATTAGTTTTAGGTAGTTAAATTCATGTTACTAAGCTGTTTCTGGGAGCTATATGTATACTTTGTGGCAAAGAAACTCTACCATATAACTTGTACAACTAAAATGTGTAGTATATTTATACCTGTTGGTTTTTGTTTTTTGTTTTAATGTTATAAGCAGAAGTAGGGTTGGAGGGTAGAGAAGAGCCACACAGGATTCCAGACCCAGCTGTGACATTAAGTAGCTGAATGAGCTTCAGCACACCCCCTTACCCTTCCAGAGCCTCTAGGGCACCTCTTCTCGACCACAGCACCCTTTCAGTTCTGCTGTTCTCCCGCTCTCTGTGCCTGACTCTTCAAATAACTAAGACTCTGGTTTTGGAGGTGAAAGACCACAAGTGTTTTAAAACATTGCCTGAAGGGACTGATTCAGCTGCTCGGGTGCTAGACAGAGGAACATCAATGCCTGCAGGGCAGTGGGGGAGGCTTCACCGAAGAGAGTCTGAGCTGAATCCAGAAAGTTGGAGGAAAGGAGTTTCATGGTTTGTCTTTAATTTTTTCTATCTCGGCGCACCTGGGTGGCTCAGTCGGTTGGGCGGCCGACTTTGGCTCAGGTCATGATCTCACAGCTTGTGAGTTCAAACCCCTCATCGGGCTCCTTGCTGATAGCTCAGAGTTTGGATCCTACTTCAGATTCTGTGTCTCTCTGCCCCTCCCCTACTCACACTCTGTCTTTCTCTGTCTCTCTAAAGTAAATAAACATTAAATTTTTCTATCTCATCAAGCTGATCTCCTCTCAGCAAATCAGTACTGATAGTGAAGGCCAAAAATATTTCAATAATATGTTGTTTGAATAGAAATCTGGTGATTAGACATTTTAAATGGATGCTAAACTGCAAATAATCACCAGTCCCATGGCACGGCCAACTCACGGATGTATATTTACTTTCAGCCCTCCAGATCACCAGCTTTGCTTCGAGGAGCTTGGGTTTTCTGCTCTATGTAGAGCCCAATGCAGGGTTCCAACTCACACACCATGAGATCATGACGTGAGCCAATATCAAGAGTCACCAATATCAAGAGTCAGACACTTAACTGACTTACCCACCCAAGCGCCCCAAGATATTTTCAATTTATAATAGAGCAATATCATTAAGTTCCTTTGCAACATTCCTTCTATTAAAAAGCAGGCCTGGACTAATAAAATTTGTCATTCTGGGTGGGCCTGGGTGGCTTAGGCAGTTAAGTGTCCGACTTTGGCTCAGGTCATGATCTCGTAGCTTGTGGGTTCACCTCCCCATCGGGCTCTGTGCTGAGAGCTCAGAGCCTGGAGCCTGCTTCAGATTCTGTGTCTCCCTCTCTCTCTACCTTTCCCTACTCATTCTCTGTCTCTCTCAAAAATAAATAAACGTTAAAAGTTTTTTTCTTTTAAATAATAAAAATTTAAAAAGTCAAAATTAAAAAATAAAAATTGACATTCTGTTGTGTGCTGTGTTACAGCACATTTTCGCATGTGGTATCTAACATGTTTTGAAGCCTGCCCCTTTGTCTTTTGTCACTCAAAGCCTCAATGCAAGAGGTGACCTCAGAGGATGCTTCTCTTGCAGTCTAGTCTTTTTTTTTTAATGTTTTAAGGTTTATTTATTTTTGAGAGAGAGAGACAGAGCACAAGCAGAGAGAGAGGGAGACACAGAATCTGCAGCAGGCTCCAGGCTCTGAGCTGTTGGCACAGAGCCCAACACGGGACTGGAACCTACAAACTGTGAGATCATGACCTGAGCGGATGTCAGATGCTCAACTAACTAAGCAACCCAGATGCCTCACTTGCAGTCTAGTCTTACTGTTTCTCTACTGGCCTTGCATTGTCTGAATCATTTGATTTCATCTTCCTCTTTTGATCTTCTTTACAAATTTTTTTCAGTGTTAATTTCTTAGCAGTTATAAATAAATTTGAGAAGTACTGAAATTTATCAAGGACAAAAAGCAGTGATCCAGATTCTCAACACTCAAGAGTTAGTGACTGTTCGTATTTTGGGTTCTTTATTCTCAGTCTGTCCCTTTATCTTTCTTGTGTACTTCGATGATTTTTACTATAAAAATGCACATTTTTCTCCATTAACAAGTTGAGGACTATTAGGACCTCAACTTACTGGATTGTAGGTTTCTGTCTCTTAACCTTGGGTGCTGTATTAATCAGCCTTCTTTTGTAGTGCTCCATAACAGACACTTTCCAAATCCCAGTGTCTTATAACAGTGACATTTATCCCACACTCTTGGGGTGCCCTATGGCTGTAGTTTGAGGTTGGCTGGCTCAGCTGAACTGGGCTGGACTCCAGATTTCATGTCTGGTCAATACATCACCATTTTAGGTGAAGGATCAACAGTTACCTGGAGCATGTTCTTCTCTTGGCAAAGGGTGATTAGTGGAAACTTGCCATGCTTTTTAAGGCCTTAGTTCAAAATTTGGGCATTCCCATCCCACCCACATTTCATTGGTCAAATCAAGTCACTTGGCCAAGCCTGCAGTCAGTAGGGTGGAGAGTACCTCCTGTTGGGAGCCAAGGTTTATTAGGTTACTAGGGCTGCTGTAACAGACAGCACAGACTGGGTGACTTGAACAACACAAGTTCATTGTCTCCCAGTTCTGAATGCTGGAAGTCTGAGATGAAGGCATCAGCAAGGTTGATTCTTCTGAGGCCTCTCTCCTTGGCTTGCAGGTGTTGTCTTCTTCCTGTATCTCCACATGGTCTCACTTTGGTGTGGTTTTAGTCCTAATCTCTTCTTCTTATAAAGACATCAGTTATATTGATTACAGCCCACCCTCATGACTCTACTTAACCTTAAATTTCTCTTTAAAGACTCTATCTCCAAGTACAGTGACATTCTGAGAGACTAGGCATTAGGATTTCAGTATATGAGCTCGGGAGGGGTCCCATAACACATGGTAAGGGTGGGAAATGAAAGAAGGATTGTAAGTAAGGATCCCCAAGGCTCAGCTTCCCCATCTTTAAAACAGGGGTTTGTTAGGGATTGAATGAGAAAATTCACAAAAAGCGCCTGCTGGTGGAGGTGGTAAGGATGGGTATGGTTCTACATCATGTGGAAGGACCAAATCCAGCCTTCTTGGGCCTATTGCCTTGTTCTACCCTGTGGGCAAGCTGGTAGTACACAGTACTTCTCATAATGGCCTACCTTTCACAGCAGTGTACAGTCAGTGGAATCTTCATAATAAAGTCAATAGGGCTTTTGGGTACTCAACCTATGGCCTTGGTTTTGCTAACACCATTTCTACCTATGAGCTATGGCTGCCACCTTTCCTTTGCCCCAAATATTTATTGAAGATCTTTAATTGCTTCATAGGGCTGTGGGCTTCATATTGACCTAAGGCATGGCCCTCCTTCTAAGGAACTACAGTTGAATGCCTATGAGAATAAATGAGCCAGGCGGTCAGAGCAGGGTGTGTCCCTCTCTCTGCCTCTATGTTCAAATCCAGCTGTCTCACACACTCTCCTTTTGTTTTTCGTTCCCAGAATATCGTGTTAAGGAATGGTTCCGAGACCTTTGATTCCTGGAAGAAGCCCCCTCTGCCTGTGTATATCCAGTTCTATTTCTTCAATGTCACCAATCCAGAGGAGATCCTCAGAGGGGAGACTCCCCGGTTAGAAGAAGTGGGCCCATATACCTACAGGTGAGTCCTGACCATTCCCTGCCATACCAACCAGAAATATGGAGTGGCCCCACCGTGGCCACAGTTGGCATCTCTTCCCACGAGCATCCTCTGCAGGCTACGTGGGGAGTGCAGGTTTTGGTTAAATCTGTCTGAAATGTTGCTAATATTTGGCTCACCTGTGTGACACCTCACCAGAGGATGACTCTATGGACGAGGGCCAGTCTCAGCCTGTTATGTTTAGGAATGCAGGTATTTCCTCCTGAGTTGGCAAAAAGCGGTTATTGAGCTGTGAAGAGCTATGCCCTATCCCCAACCCCTTTAAGGCTGTCCCTTGATTCTCTTTGATGACTTTTAGGGCCTTCATCTATTTCCCTCCCCCACATACCATTTTAGACCAGGTTCTAGAATTCATTGTTGGTTCATAGACAGGCCTTTCTATCTCTTTTTCATTTTTTTCCCCACCGGTCCTGGGTATGAGAGATAACTAAGTGTCAGGGTGGGTTAGAGTCTTTGGCAGTGACTTTGCCATTTGGCCAATTCCAAAAGCTGGGGAAGTAGGAGAACTGCTTTAATCATTTTTTAGAAGATTAATAGGGGGAAGTACTCGGGGATCTTAGGGTCAGAGCATTTTCCCTGTTGTAGCAATACCCCGCCCCCCGCAATAATCTTTCCAATAAAGTTTCTCCTTTCCAACAAAGTTTAAGAAAATAGTAGAGGGGGTGCTTGGCTGACTCAGTAAGAGGAGCATGTGACTCTTAATCTCGGGGTTGTGAGTTCGAGCCCCACGTTGGGTGTAGAAATTGCTAAGAAAAATAATAATCATAAATTTTAAAAAATAGAGGAATCAGCAAGATCTTTTTTGTGTAGAATTGCTAAATGGTAAAAATGCCTTACAACTCTCTTGTAATCTATTGCTCAATAAGTGGTTGCTGACTAATTTATATTATGAATCAGTACTATTCCTTGTGCAAGAATTCAGAAATAAAAGTCTTGGTCCCTGCCTCAGGTGCTCATGGTCTAACTCTGGAGTCAAATTGCCTGTTTTGACTCACCACAGCCACTTACTAGTCTAGAGACTTACTAGATAAAGAAACTAGTGGTTTCTTTATCTGGAGATAAAAATAGGACAGCCACCACAGGATTGTTATCAGGATTAAATGAGCTAATGAGTCAGTATTGTTAAAGTGCTTAGATTAACGCCTAGCACACAATTAGTGCTAAGTAAGCGTTTGATATTATTAGTGTTTATGGATTGTCTTAGTCTGTATAAATCAATATCCTGATTTGTAAAGATGAACTCTGTTTTTATATAAAGCAATTTTAAATTTAAAAAGGGGGAATGCTCCAAGGTGGCTTCGTCAGTTAAGCATCTGACTCTTGATTTTGGCTCAGGTCATGATCTCACAGTCATGAGATCAAGCCCCAAATTGGGAGTGTGGAGCGTGCTTAAGATTCTCAATCTCTCTCTCTCTCTTTTTTCCTCACCGCCCCTCGCTGCCCCCTTCCCCTCTCACACAGGTGTGCACTCTCTCTTTCAAATAAATAAATAAATAAGTAATTTTTTAAAGAGGAATCTTAAATAAATATTTGGATCTTCACTTGAAAAATTTTTTTGTATGGGTTTAATACCTAAAGAAACTGTGTACTAGGTAGAGCAGGTCTGTGTTTGAGGCTGTCTTGCTTGGGGATAATTGGAAGTTGAACTAGAATTAGAATCTAGTTTTATCGTTTTACAAATTTTTTATTGTGATTAAAAGAAAATAATATAAATGCATCATGACCACTTTTAAGTGTACAGTTCAGTAGTGTTATGTATATTTTTACAATGTTGTGCAACAAATCTCTAGAATTTTTTCGTCCTGTAAAACTGCAACTCTATACCCATTAAATAACTCCCCTGGTAGCCACCATTCTACTTTGTTTTATGAATTTCAGTGCCTTACATGCCTCATATGAATGGAACCATCCAATATTTGTTTTTTTTTTTTTTTTTGCTCTTTTTATTTTTTCACTAAATTTTTTCGGGGGAAAAATTTTTTTCGGGGGAAAAAATTTCACTAAATTTTTTTGGGGGGCAGTCGGGGGAAACTGCCTCCATGTGAGAATGAACTCATCTGAGAACTAAAGAAAACTCTGACAATTTTCCTCTGGGTCTCCTGGACCTGTTCCTATGCTCATTATCCTCATCTGAGAAAAAGACATACATTCTAATCATAACCCAAAGAAACCCAATGCTCCATCAAAATGTCTTCTGGGCCATTGTGTCTGCTAGCTTAATAGGCTGTTAAAAGCGTGATCATGGGGACAGATAAATCCTAGAAGTAAAACAGTGTCTGATTGTTACCATACTCCCTCCATGTTCCCATTTTATTTTTATTTTTTTAAGGTTATTTGTTTATTTTGAGAGAGAGAGCAAGAGAGGCAGAGAGAGAGAGAGAGAGAGAATATACCAAGCAGGCTCTGCGGTGCCACAGTGCAGATCTTAATTCAGGGCTCGAACTCACGAACTGTGAGGCCATGACCTGACCTGAAACCAGGAGTTGGACGCTTAACTCACTGAGCCAGGTGTCCCCATGTTCCCATTTTAGACGGACCAAGACTTACTCGTGAGAAAAGCTCAGGAACATCTTACAGGAGTTCTTAACCTAGGATCCACAGATCCCTAAGGGGTCCATGGATAGAATTCAAAGTGGTCTGTGTCTTGGGTAGGAAAAAAATGATAATTTATTTTCACTGACCCCTCACTAAAATTTAGAATTTCCTTTGAGTATAAATGTAGGCAACATACCACAGTGGTGTAAGCAGTACCCATGGCTTCCTCATTAATGGAAACACAGATATTGTGTCTCATGAAAGCTATTGTCCATGATACCATTCATTTTCATAAATACTTCAGAATTATAGTAATTGTTAGACTTGCTGTTGCATCTTATTCAAAGTATCAGTAAAGAAGCATGGTGTATTACCATATCACAGATTTTAAAAATGATACCTATATTTCAGTAATTGGTTTCCTTTGTAATCCTGTAATTTTGTTCTGTGTATGTAAAAACATTTCTTTAAGAAAGGGTCGATAGACTTGACCAGATGGCCATAGGGAAGATTAAAAACCCTGAGAGCAGATCCAGTAGTTTCGAAGGCAGGTTGGTCGCTCATTGATTGTTTCTTGTTTGCTTCCTGAGTTTTCCTTCCTCTGGTTTTTCTCCCTGCCCTGATCTCTCTTCCATTTCACTGCCAAGGTGGTTTCCCTTCCCTGCTCAGGGTCTTAGTGACTCTTCCTGTATGATGTACCAGGCCTACGCACTCTGTCTCCTTCCGTATGTCTAGCTTTTCTGTTTTATTTTAATTTTAATGTAATTTTTTGGCACTCTCAACCTCAGATTTTATACTCTAGCCAGAGCTCTCCAACAGAAATTTATTATAGGCCACAAAGGTATTTGAAAATTTTCTTGGAATCACATTTAAAAGGGTGAAATTGATTTTAATATTTTATTTACCCCAGTGCTATCCCAAACAGTGTCATTTCAACATGTAATCAATATCTGGAATTATTAATGAGATACTTTATATTCTTTTCTCCCCCCCATGCTAAGTCTTTTAAATGTATAGCACATCTAATCTTGGACTAGCCACCTTTCGGGTGGGTAACAGCCACATGGGGCTGGTGGCTACCATATTGGACAGCACAGTTCTAACTGTATTGCAGTTGTTTGTAAGTCCCCAGCTATGCTGCTGTGCCATTGTGTGCAATTCCCTCAGTCAAGAATGAACTCCCCCCCACCTCTCTCAGATCAGTTGGTGCCGCTTCCTGAGCGGGCACCTGAAAGTCCTGAGACTTTCCCTGACTTTGGATGAGCTCTCCCTAGTATGTGTGTCTGTTACAAACTGAATAAAGGCATTTTAACAATTGGTTACATATCTGTCTTCCCAATGTACTGAAAGCTCACGAGGGGAAAATCCAGTGGCTGGCGAATATATGTGAAACAAGTAAATGAAATATCCTCAGCCATGGCTTAAATCCTTAGGACGCAAGAGGAGAAACTATTTAAATCCACAGAACACAGCTCAGCTGAGACCACAGGACTTAATCCATGGAAGCCCAGGAGGCAAGGCTAGGTTCAAGAAAGAGGAATAGGGTCTTGAAAACGAATGGCTTGGTTCACGAACAGATGCTCACATGTGCCCTGCAAACTGCTGGGCGTTCCTCTCAGGGTTGAGTGAGTTGTAAGCTGGAGTTCGCAGAAAAAGAAGGCGTTTTAGTAGCTCTTAGGGCTCTTCTAGAGAGCCTTTTGCAGTCTTTTAATGGATCTGATTTCTATCACTTGTGACTTAATTATGCTATTGTTTACACAAGAAGGATAGAATATTCCAGTAACTCCTGCCCCAGTGTTTAATAGTTCCTTGGGTTCCTTCCCAACTGAGTCAGCGACCTTGATTGTGTGCAGAGGGACCTGAGGCAGGAAGGCAAAGGCAAGCTGGCCTCCTGTCCTGCTGGTGAGCGCGGAATGGTCTTGGTGCTGGGGAATCTCTGAGAAGAGGGAAAGGCCCTCTTCTGTGGAGGCCCTGGGTCATTTGACATACAATTCACAGTGGCACCTTTCCCCCAACATTCACTTATTGATGACTTGAGAATATTTGTATTTTTGGAAAAAGACGATGGTGGTTCTGCAAAGTAGATAAGAACCAGTCATTCTGGTTTAAGGAATGTAGTGCGTTATTTACATTTGTATAAAGTGTGGGTTGAGCAGCCTTGGGGCAGACCTGTCAGCAGAGCTAACTTGCCTCCTGGTCCTGTTGCTTAGTGACATATTTGCCTAAAATGTGTATCCAATTTATGATAGTCATTGGCTTCTGCAACCTTTTTGAGATTCTTTTCATTTTGTCAGGTTTCTTTTTCTTTTTTGCCTACTAATTAACACACCAAGAATTAAAAAGGAAAACTAGTTTATCCAAGGGCTCTTTCAACGAACTTTCATATTTCTAAGACATACTTGCTAAATTTACAATATTCCATTAAC